AGCAACAGTTGCAACCTTTGGACCTTTTTTTGTTCAGAGCCCAGATTTCTGTTTCGTGAGCACTCCTCCCAAAGACCATGTAATCAATCAACTGGAGGAAGTATCCTTTGGCTGCGTGCAAAGAAATAAAGATAAAATAAACATCAAGGCTGCATTTTCACACACAGCTAATCCAATCTTCTGTTATCCTTGAATAAATGACTTATCTGGTGAAACAGCAGTATGCATCACAATGCAAGTTACATTGGAGCAGCCATCTTCCTCTTCAGTGGAGACTGGTTAACTATCTTTTAGCTTTTGTTTTGTTTTGAATTATTGGAGAAAAGAGTAAATCTACCCTTGCCCAAGGCCAACTTGGATTGAAACTGCAAGAGAAGATTTGCAAAAGACTTCTTTTTCCTTCCCCTTCCTTTCCTTATCCCACCCACAGACACAAACCAGTATTGGTCACCTAACTTTGCTGCTACTAGCTGGGATGGGAAATTGTGACACATAATCCCCTTCCTGAAATAGCTGATGGTTGCTGACATCTTAAGGGGAAAACACAGCTAACCACAGATGAAGCCTATCTAATGCATGGGCTGAGTAGACATCGAGGGTGACATAATGGGAACTTAGCAGAATAAAAAGCATCACCAGGGAATATTTCTACCATGGTAAGATGCAAATGAGTAAAAGCCCAGAAAGAGATGGAAGAAGGTTAACAAAAGTAAACAGAACTGGCCTCATCTGACAAATCCTAGGCATTTGATAACAGTAGACAATGTGAAAACACGGAAAGGAAAGCCAAAGGAAAGGAACATTTGCAGACAATGGAGAAGATGTGTCTAAGGAAAACCATAGCAGATGGGATATTTTGATAAAAGATGTTCCAGCCAGCTGACGGGAACATGATGTTCTTAGGACTATAAATTTGGCACTTGACTGACAGATGAGAAAAGCAACTTCTTACAGAAGAAAAAAACAAAGAGGACTGGAAACATTGGCAGTCAACAGGAAACTCCTTTCTTTGGAGGAAGACAGGAAAGTGCTGTCATTTCAGAAACATATTTCAATATGTTTTCTCCTGACAATTTTCAGCAAACGTACTAACATGTCAGCTCTACCACTAAGGAGAATAAGTCAGCAGCGTCTGGAAGCTAAGTCTGGCTGTGAGGTTGGAGATCAGGGCTGGCTGTGTCTATTAGCCAGCTCTGCATTATTTAAGATAACTTGCTGCTTCTGGGTGGAACAGTAAATACTTTTTACTGGAGTATGACTCAGCTGCCAATCCACTCATGTTCTAGTTGAAGGAACCACATTGTCCTGTCCTTGGCCCACTCTGCATGTCAACATTTGAGAAAGCAAAAGGGTCTGCATGTTTCTCCTTTATCCATCATCATCTACATAAAGAGTTTACTATAGGTTGCAAAATATTAAGACATAAAAGGAAGAAGATTTGAAGCAGGTGGACAACTTCTGGTTCAAGAAAATACGAATGTGAAAATCATTCATCAAAGAGAAGGGCAGGTAGAGGAGCAGTTCTCAATCTGGTGCCCTCCATATGTGTTGAAACCAGACAGGGAGGGCTAAATTAAAATGATGTGTATCATATTATACAGTATGAATGAAATGAAGTGCACAACGATTGTTGAATTTAAAAAAAATGCTTATCAGTCTGGAAATTCATAGCCAGGCCTTCCTGCAAACTTCCATTTCAGACTGTTCCATAATAATTTATGGCACCATTATAAAGCGATGGTTTTAAAATCAGATTTATATTTAGATCTGTTTTATTTACATAGGATCTAGCTTCTTAAAAAATGAAAAGAGATTACCAGTTAAGTTTCAAGAAAACAATATCCTATGCAATATATTTTATTTTGAAAAACAGATGGTGGTGAGGAATTATTATGTAAATCCAGCCTTCCCCAACGTTGAACCAAGCAAGATGCCTGGTCTCAGAATTCTCCAGCTAGCATGGTGTTGATTCTCATGATAGTTGTCAGGAGATATACTGATCCTCCTGGCACACCCAGCTGGGGCATTTTCAATCTTTGTACCAAAGCCTTTTCTCTTCAGCCCATCCCTTGGAAAATAAAAAAAGTGTGTGCAATCTTTTGGACAATGCCCAAAAATACAGAATTTAAAGAACATTGTGCCAATCTTGACTCATAAAAAGTGGTAGTATAGCTGTAATGGGCAATTTCCTTGTTAAGCAATGAAGCCAAATCTCTAGATATAAAAAAGGAACTCGTTGGGGAAAGGGAAGTATAAGAAAAATAAGGGAATTGTCAGTCAACAATTACAATATAATCAGCTTAGCTAAATTAGTTATACATTACCTCCTTGAACAAGCTTTTATATTTCAACACACGTTCACCGTATGTTGGAGAGAGCCCACCAGGGCCTTTGTGGATGTTGATAAGTAGGTCTTTGTTTCTCTCTCTCTCTCTCTCTCTCTCTCTCTCTCTCTCTCTCTCTCTCTCTCTCT